GGGCTGCCACTCCCTCTCTGGGCAACCTGTGTAGGTGCCGGTGGGGGCCGGTTCGTGAGTTTAAAACCGTTCCCGCGGCACAAGAAGTAACCAGGCTCTTGGCAGAGGGCACGAAACGCCGCCCGGGCCGCGTTTCCCCCCACAGAACCGAACCGAGACCGCCTGAGCGTATTCGCGAACTGATTCCACCAGGAGCACTCGCTGCTTTAATCCATGTTTTAATAATCTTGATCAAGATCTTAGAAAAACACGTATCAAAAAAATACAACGTCGGTAGCCTTCAACCACTGGCTGGAGAAATGCAGTTGAACAAAGGCAGGTAAATAGGAATGAGCTGAAATATTCCTGAGAAAAAGTTTTTTCATTGAAAACGCTGAGTTGTCAAAGTACTTTTTCTTTTCTTCAGAGAGAAGACTAAGTCGACAGCTGTCCTGTTGTGAGTGGTGCTGAAGCTGATGTTTGGCCACTGCCCAGTTTCCACACTGTAGTAAATACTTTCTGGAGTTTGAAGTTAAATTTAAAGAAATATGGAACTGAAACTGAACATGTTCACGTTCTTCAGCTTTTGTGAAAAATGCTTGACAGAGCTTTTAGTGGCTTTTGAAACAGATTTTCATTTCAAAGTGGTCAAGGATTGGGCATCATATGCCATCCAGCAATAACTGAAAAGCAGTACAAAAGAGAAAGGAATCACTGGCAACAGCTGCAAAAAGAAAACTGCAAAGACAGATTTACTCATATTACGTCAAGCAGATCCCAGCAGCAACACCGGTATAAACATCATTTGAAGTGTCTGAAATCAAGAAGCTGCATTACTGAAGTCACAATCACAGAAAAGTGCTCCTGAAAACAAGCCCGAAATCCTATCTGGAATACTAAGGCAGACTGTGGATATTGCCTTGCGATGTTTATTCTGTTTTGATGATAACGTCAGCCTTAGGCCACTGCCAAATCTCGGGGGGTCTGGAGGCCTTATTTGTTATATAAGACAATGTATGTTTGAAGAGGGCAGGGAAGTCCTCTTTGCACTGCTGTATTCTATTACATATTTAATTTTATATATGCAAAATATTTTTCTTTTTTCCTCTCATGTCCTTCAGGAAACTAAATTTAATCATCACACTATAGCTGTGATGATTATAACTGACAATTCTTACAACTGACAATTACTCATTAGAAAAATCAAACGAACAAACCATGTTAGGTGAACCCGTTAAATCAGATTATGAAATGAAATTTCATTCATCTGAGGGACCTGTTTTTCAGTTTAAATTCCCAAAGGAATGGTGTTGGGGGCAGCAGTACAAGCACTCAGTTATTATATTGAATAATACTAAAACGTTTTGACTATTATGTTTGCTTATTTCAGATTCCTGCCTTCTGGACTTCTTTAACATTCGTGCAGTGAACCTACTGCATGTGCAAGCCTGACTTTACAATGTCAAAAATGACACAGGCCCCAATTTGCAGTAACAAAGTACAGGAATTGTTTTCAAGTGTCAGTCTTGAACATGCCAATGTAGAATCTGCAAGTGCAATTCTCTGGCTGAAAATATGGACTTCAAGTATTTTAAAAACAGGAGACAACTGGAACAGCTTATTCCGTTCAGAGATCGACGATCTCCTTTCTTGATTTAAAGGCAGCATGAACAGCAACACATTTTCTTCTGCTGTGTAAAATGATTCTGAAGTCAATTTCTTGAAACCCCATCCTTCACTGAAAAGAACAGTAATAAAAACAGTTATTAATGAAGCTCATACCACAATCCCCAAGTCTGTAAGAACATTTTTATTGGAACCAGATCACTGTTCTTGGCCATTTCTTCCAAAGGAGAGCAGGGCATTTTGTTTCAGAGAGAGGTGCTCACCTTTATTATTGCTTTTTCTTTTAAAAACCCAGAAGTTAATCAGCAGAGAAATGCTTCTAGACAAGTATGCTTGAAAACATATATACCTGCCTAATCTCCCTCCTATAAAAATGCAGTACCTGATCCTCTCCTGTTTGTGAACATGCTTTAAGCGCGACTAATCACTGTTGAGGTCAGTCAAGTTATTTGTGGATGAGTTAAATGTAAATTAAAAAAAAAAAGTAACCTGATTCTGCCAGTGCACATTAACTACTCGTTAAGCACATAATATTTTGTTACTTTCATTTCAAGACTGTGGGTAACAGTATTCAAAGTTCCCAAGGGTACAGTTATTATGTGATGAAATTCCTACTTGCTGGCTCAAGTGGCTGAATTAAAAGCATTTATAGTTTCATCCTTTTCACATTAGATCACTGTGCTCCCACGGACTTTAATATCCCACTGACTTGCAGGATCCGGCGATATTTTATCATCTTTTCAGAAACTTGCATGTTTTAGTAAGAACTAAAGATAAAACCAGACAGCTTACCGGAACACTGAAGCATTTTCCATTCCTGCCGAAACTGGTCTCTTAATCTTTTTATTTTATTTACTTTTTCTTGGGTAGGAGGTACAAAGACTCCAAAGTGAGGTGTAGAAGCACCCACTAATGCTTTGGCTACACTTTCCATTAAATTTATCTCTCCGTCCTATTTAAGAAGAAAAAAGAAAAAAACCAAAATACACTCCTGTAAATCAAACTTTGTTTCAGCAACACATGAAATATTTTAAAACAAGCTTTTGTAATTATGTTGCTAGTGTTAGTAGCAATAATAAGCAACTTCCAATTTTCAATCAAAAACGTGTCGAAAGGGGCAAGTTTTTTTCTGAAAAAGGTAAATTAATTTTTATTGCCTTTAAAACATTTTTTTAAAAAATTTCAAATAGAGAAAGAATCTCAGCGTTTCTTTTGTGATTGAAAAAAAACAGTGCTGGGTTAAAGGTAAAAAATGTTAGGAAGGAAGGGGAGCATGGAGCTTGTTTACCTCATGCATCATTTATTCTTTATCTGTAGGAAACAGCGCTGCATTTTGCTTCATCAAAAAGTGACTTTTTTGGACTCCTAACAATTTAAATCAATGTCATTTACTGACAGAAATTATATTCTGAGGCGTTTGTACTATATAAGGATTATTAACATTTATTTTGAAGACTGTAACTATTTTTTTTTTAGAGATTTAAGTCTTTCTTCAACTAGTCTAAAAAGCCAAGACCACGCACTGGAAAATCTCCACATATTAGATAATCCTGTCATGACACTACCTGCAGTCTCATTTTTAAAAGAGATATGCCTAAATTTCTTTTTATCTTTAGTTTAACCTCCAGAATATCAGAAATTCTTCCCATTTCATACTCCTGCTTAGTAACGTGCAAATATACTATTGCTGTGCACTGTATATCAATGCACAAATTATATTAGCTCAGACAATTTACATATCAGCACTGTAAATTAAATAACACTTGAGAAAACTACAGAATGAAGTATGTCAAAATCCACTTAACTAGCAGCTTAATGAGTAGTATGTCTTCAGTTGGATACTTGCTGGAAACAGATTAGAATAAAATGGCATACATGAACAATTACTTGTTTTTTTCTCATTAAAGAATAATTAGAAGGCACAAAAGCAATCATGGGAGAAATTATGTTACTCACAGCCCCAGGATGCTGCAGAGGCCGAGAATGTAAGCTGAGTTCTTTAAGAGATTAGACAAACTCGTGGAAGATACTCTCACTGGCACTTAGCACACACTGGTCTGGATACAGCTTCCGACCTCCTAAATTTAGAAATTCTTAATGCAGCAGTGTACTGAGACACTAGATTAGGAAAAGATCCACGAATTCTTTATTTCCTTTCCCATGCGCTCCATCAGATACACAAAGCACAGGGAGATGGGTCAAGTTCTGTATTGTGGTAATCAAGTTCACTTAAAGGGTATGTGCCATGCTGATTGATCTGGATGATGGAAGTTGTGTGTGACAAGGTACAGGACAGGGGAGAGCAGGAGGGGAAATTCAGTGCTTTATGGGAAACAGGACAATGGGCTGTTTCACATTTGATGGGAAGAGGCCATATAACCGAGAGGCAGAAAGCATCTCTTTTCAGGGGACAACCCCGAGCTGAGAATCCCAAGTGGAAAGGGAAGTTGTGGGAAACTATCAGAACACCTCCTGTCTGGAGACAAAACCACAGGCTTGCATTCATGCCTCCGTTTTCCAGTGGCACAGGCTGCCTACAGCTCAGTCTGCATCTCTGTCTTGTCTTGTTCTCAGGCCAGAGAGAAACTGGGGCTATTTGGGCCATGAATTCAGGGCTGCCAAAGACAGTACAGACACCACAATTGTTTTCTACTGAGCAGCCTGAAGCAGTTCCTAGCAGGCACGCTGCTGCTGCATCTGAGCTCTGCCCTTCACGCCACTTCTTACCTCAACCACTGCAAGCATTCGAGACTCAGCTAATCCTTGTAGTAAAGTGAAGAGCAGAGAAATCCCACTTATTCCAAGGCTCCTGTTTGGTCCAACAGCTATTACTGTCAAGTTAGGTTGGTAACTGTATGCTATGGGAAGAATGAGTCCAAGTACTGCAGAAAAGAAGTCATTCCCTTCAGCATCCTTTAACAACAATGAGAAACTGTTAAATACAAATGGAAAGCCCCAAATTCCCAGATATAAACTAAAACAGTAAGGTGAGTCTCAAAAAAGCTTTTGATTGACCTAAGAAACAGGATACTGATTTATTTTCACAGCTATTTTTGTATTAAACATGCAGATTATTCATTTTTTCCTTAGTGTCTATACAGTGTAGCTCTGCCTTCTTGAAGATGAACTACTGCAGCTACTGAAGTTTTCATCAAACCTATGTGTTCTAATAGAATCACAGAATCATTTGGGTTGGAAAAGACCCTTGGTATCATAGAGTCCAACCATTAACCTTACTCTGCAAAGCTCACCCCTAAACCATACCCCCAAATACCACATCTAAATGACCTTTAATACACTCTAAAGATCTGTAAAAGAGTAGTAGTCTGGCAAGAGCAAGACAGTAATTTCAAAGATACAAACTGCACTGAAGGGTGTGATGCTTGGTGTTATTTTATGGATCTGTAAATACATGTTATTATTTCAATCTAAAAAAAGGTTTTCTCTTATATTGTTTCTAGAAAGTGAATCTTACCTCTTTCCAGTTCAGAGAAATATAGTGTTTAGAGCTGATCTTTCCAGGCTGTTCTTTCTTGCAAATATGTATCACAAGTATCTTTCTGTAAATAAAAGCCACACCCGAGTATTTAGCCAACAGCTTCCAATGAGATTAAAAGATTTTTTCTTTGTTCTTTAAATGATAATTCATAACACAAGAGCAAATTACTGTTTGCATTGCTACATGCCATAATGTAAACACCAATTAAAACTAAAACCTTTTCAAAGGTATTTTTTAAAAGAGTATTAAAAGACTATGGGGAAATTACTTTCAAGACAAAGAAGTGGCAAAAAATGGCAAAAAGAAGTTATAGAGAAGTGAAGATGAGTTTCAATAAGGAATGCACCATCAGCAGTATGTGCCCCCCTGTGGGGTGGAGTATAACCTATATAATTAATAATTGCCTTCTCTAACATTTTACATTTTCAATTCCATTTTCAGTAACAATCTAAATTTCAATTAATACAGAAGGATTATACCTTAAACCTATCACTAAACTTACAAAGTGGCACTCAGAAGTAGCAGTTTGTCTTTAGAAATGTATTTGGGGATGTTTTCTATTTTTACTTGAGCTAAATTTAACAAGCATCAGCTCACGACTGATTCCTTAGTCCTGATTTCATCGTCCGTATGGACACTCATGAACATTTATAAAGCCTTTGGGATTTGACTTAATGAACTAAAGCAAAACCTCACCCGTCTTCTGTGTTCGGTATGATTTGCATGTCTCCAACAAATATACAAAGCACTCTGCAGAAAACAAAGAAAAATATATGTATATTTACAAGTAGGATTTTTTTTCAGTTAGTGCAATTTGTTTGAAGAGTTTGCATGTAGATTACATACATAAGAAAGAATTTATATTGTTTCGGAATCAGGTCCATTAGAAGTATAAAACACATTTATGATAGCTCAAGGGAACTCTTTTCCTCCTAACAAATGCTGGGAAGAAAAAACAAAACCAAGAAAATTTTTCTCAGGCCAAAGATAATCAAAATCTAACAAAGAAAATGTAGGCTAGCCCAGCAGTCACCCCTAAAAATGTTTTGCCTTTGGTTAGCAAAAGGATTTTGCTGGAAGAGACAATATTGTCTGTACTTCATACTGAAAATGCTATGTGCGTGGAGTTGCTACTCGTTTCAAAATTGAGGTTTCAAAGGCAATTAGCCCTATTTCACACATTTAGCATCTTATTTTTACATTTTGCCAAAGGGCCCCAAATGCAAAAGATACAATTTACCTTTGAAATCCAAACCGAACAGAATGCCTTAGTGCAACAGCAACTGAAACAGCAGCTGTGGGTGATTCTGCAATTCCATTGCATACCTGCAAAATACATTTTGCATTTGCAAGTAATTATTGCTGCACAAGATCATGTCACTTTTTACCTGTAACACCTGTATTTTTACTTGTTTTTATGTATCATTTAAACAAAGCTACAGCTGTATAAAAAGAATCATAATGATCTATCACAGTAGGCTTAAGAAAATGTTATTAATTTTCTGCAGAAAGACCGTATTTAATTATTGTGCCCAGAGCTGTTCCATTACTTCAGAAGGTATGGCGCTGTGCTGAAAGGCAGCTGTAAAAACAGCTTCTGCAGGGGAAGAACCATCTGGACTGGTTCTCCGGGTACTCTGCAGATTGGACACACTCAGAATGCCAGTAGGCCAAGCGCACCAGAAAAATACACCCTATGAAAAGGAGGCTGTCCCTGAATTCTGACTCTTTACCTGGGCAAACTATTCCTTTCTGGAAAAATATAATGGGAGTATTACTCCGTCGTCCTTTCAGTATTTGTGTTGTGTAGTGCTTTGAACTCTACATGAAAGCTAAGCAAAAAGATAATGCATGCTTCCCCTTGTCACTCCTCTTCTTCATATTTGTCAACACAAAAAGCTTATCTTAGAACTTTTCATGAGTTGCAGATGCTATTTCTTTTTGCCAGTTACCATTTTTTAAAATCTATTTATAGGCTCTCCTAGAGGTATGTGCAGGCTATAATGTCAGAAGTTTGTCCCCAAGATCTTCATACGTGACTTCCAAGAGCAAGAAGAGAGCTTACAAGAGGCTGCTCTGGCAAGTTACTATTCCTCAGAGGCCTGGCACCTGAAAGAGAGCTTTTCATTCAAAAGAATAGACTGATTTATTACAATGTAATATTCTTAACCTGTCTGCAGTTTTTCCTCTTTGCTTCTCCAAGTTTTTATACATAAATACAAACACACACCCTCTAAGCCTGCTTTCCCTTCATTCCTGACCTTGCAAGAATCAAAACGCTGAACTGGAATTACTCCATTCAGAATCACAGCACACGGCTCCACTGAAGGGTGTGTGTGTACATGCATAAATCAAAATTTATTCCGGGTAAAGTGTTGTACAAATAACTGTAAGTGGGTGCAGCTGTGCAGAGCATGACATCTGGTGATGAAGGGTGATGCAGAAGTAAATTTTCTCCTAAAGACAGGAGGCAAAACTGTGTACCGAGACAGGAACATTTTTGACATTTCTTGTTCACTTTCTTGCTGCCGCTCACTGGTGCTCGATACACCAGCTTCTGCTCCCCTTTACTCAAGAGGGAATGCCCTGCTCATGGGTATGCTGGAGCGATGAGAAAGCTCTTACTGACTCACATGCTGTGTCTGCAGAAAAGCTGGACAATGTCTTGCTCAAAAGATCATTAGAAAGATGTCTTGGGGTTAACAACGATCCCTAAATAGTTGTTTTCTCATCTGGCACGCTCTCTCTCATAGCCAAGCACATTCTATCTGAGATTAGTGGGGTTGTGAACTACATAGTAACTAATATCTGGATGACAATACAATAGAAGCAAAAAATCAGACTAATTCAACTCTCTCTCCCCATCACCCCAAAATCAAAGCAGTTTATCATTACCTCCTTCTTCAGTATTTTATCTAGGACAGCCAACATACTGCCAAGAGAGAGCAAAGTTTTGTCCTCTGTCACGAGGTCTGCGTAAAAGCCACTGCAAAACAAATCACGTGAACAAAAACCAGGTTAGAAGCAACAATTCCTTCAAATAAAACACCGATGAGGTCCTTCACAGCTAGTATTGACGGGGTGTATTTTGTGTAGGTGCTAAATATCAATTCTCAAAAACCTGAGCTCAGGCAGCAAGATGACGACACTGTTGTCTGACAGTTTTGAGCTCTCTAAACCATGACTGAGTTCTGCATAGAGAAGAAAGCAGACATGTTTGACAATATTCAGTGAATAGAGCTCTGTCAAAATTAGACTAGGACAAGAAAGTTGAGCTTAAATCAGACCAGTTTGGCAATTTTTAGAGCTAAAAGTGAACAGAGAGCTTTAAGGCACCCTCCCAGCAAAATCTCTTTCTAAAGGAATACATTTGTACTAACTGCTTAATCTCCATTGAAATAGTTTTCTCAAAGAAAAACCCCAACCTGACAAGAGCTTTTAATTCAGTTTTGTCCATTTCCTTCATCAAATGAACAGGTACAGGGAGCGAATGTGCTGAACCTCTAGAGTCAGTTGTTGCTGTTTTGATGGGAGGCACTGGAAATAGAATATTTTTCATGTGCAGTTCCAAAAACCTTTCTACTTTGGCGGCTTCATTGTTTTGAATTATTTTAGATTCATGTTCTGTGGAGGGATTTGGATTAGCCTTCTTTGGTAGGTACAATTTGGTGCTCACATTCTGTAACAATGATGTGTCTAAAGCAAAAAAAAAAAAAAAAAGATAGGAGTTTGAAATGACAGTGTGATCATATATGGTTACTTTTATTTACAAACCAGAGTACATCTGTATTCATAGTGTTCATAATTATTTCCATACACCAGCTACAGTGTTTCCTGCCACAGACATTATTTTTCAGTGCTGCTACATCTGTTTTAATCTAGCAAAAGGTCATCAATGCTAACAAATTTTATGCCTGTATCTTTGACACAGAAAACGGCATTCCCAGATGAAGATATCAAAGCACTACTTTTTGCAATGAATGAAGCCTCACACTGCTTCATCAGTCACTTGATGAATATCTGGTAGCTCAGTTATTTTAACTCACAGGTACTAGTATTAATAATCTGAATTTCTGTGTGAATCCATTTACCAATCCCATTTGCTTGAAGAAGAGTAATTACCTTCATACATCAACCATTTCCAGTAGGGCTTATGTGCTCCTCTCACATTTTGAATGGATTCAACAGCACTACAAAAGAACAGGATTAACAGTATCACTGCTAATGAAAATACAGGAAATATATCTTATCTCAATGAAAAAGCGTAAACAAAATATGCAACTGAAAACTATAGAAAAAATGAAAGCGAGTGGGCAGACTACTTGGAAAGATTAGATTCATGGGTCAAAAGAGAGAAGTTAAGAACACGTGCAGTACGTACAGACATTTATGCACACTGAGTGACATTCTGACCCTGTTGCTGGAGGAAGTCCTTGACTTCAGAAATGCAAGATTTCACCTTTCTTTGCTCCATCAGAGATTTTATCTACACAATGTAAAGGTGTAGATTCACTCAAAAGCAAAACTATCTGTTCAGCAACCAAGTAAATGACATTCCTTGCATCTCTGTGTACCCAGGACGACGGACAGTAGCAACTTCAGATACTAGAGTTGGTAGAGAAGAACAGGTGATATAGGGGCTATGAGATGTGCTGGAAACAAAATAACCAGCTTTGCTTCAACAGAATTTACCAAACTCTGCCCACAAAGAGCATGTATCTACCCTTCTTCCCTGACCCATCTGAGCTCTGAGTTTTAATGAACACAGCCAACTGGCAAGTGCTGCACCAAAATATGCAAGGAGCATTACTACTGGGGAAAAAAACCAATAAAACAACAAGCACAAGACAACTGCTGCGGTGGAAGAGAGCCTGAGGACAGGACATGGAGATGCAGATGAGATGGTACAGACAGGTGGAAAGATGTGGGACTTTGCCAGGTCAGATTTGCCACCATGCAAACACAATCTTTCTGTCTCCAGAAAGAAGCTAGACCTTAATTATCCTGGTACATCTCCACACAGTCAAGTGCTTTAGCACCCCAGGCCTCAATGCTCCAAATTCCAGAAACACAATGAGTCATGGAGCCTGGCTTTGCAGAGCATCAGCTCTCCCTGATGAAAGGTCTGCAACAGCTATTGCTGTGCAGCAGCAACTGAAGGGCTCTGCAGTCTAAAGAACTGACCCTCACAATTACATACTTTCCCAAATAGTGGCTGTTATTAATCGTCATTGCCTTGATTCTCAGTCTTGAGTGAAATGGATCTTTACAGGATAAAAAGGCCCAGGGTTATAAAATTATAAAAAAAATTATATTTATAATTGGCATAAAATTACAAGCCAGCAAGTTCTTGCAATTGGAAATAATTACAGTAACAAAAGTATACAAAATGGTACCTTGGATGACTCTTTTGGCAAGCAAGTTATCCAAAGCAGAAAATAATATATTATACAGCATCTTATTAAAACCCTCAGCACAACATTCAAAGCATCCATGTTTTTAGTCTCTTTGATAAATACATGGGTTGTTATAAAATTCTTCATATGCTTACCTTAGGCAAGGTGCCATTTCTCCAGTTATTTGAGGTATGGGATCTCCAAGCAAAGTTTTTATAGTCATGCAGACTGATTCAGACAATGACTTTAAGTGGTATCCACCCTAGAAAAAACAAATTTTGTGTCACCTAAGGAACAGGTAACATCTATCTGAATATCATCATGGAAAAAAAATCCCAAAACTTTTGAAATGTATCTGAATTTACAGAAATAGAAGATGACATGCAAGTACATCCAAGTCAATGATTTTAACATGAGAACAGTACGCCAGAGGCTACTTGCTGAACTTCACTGGCATCCCATGATTCAAGTCACTTTTTCATGGTTCAATAATTTCAGATATCAGTCATAATTTTGCCAGGAAAACCCTGGAAACGTACATCTTTTGCATTCCTATCCACAACACGCTATCTTCAGAGATTCTTGTGGAAGATCCCTTAAAGGACAGAGACCATCACAGTCCTCCTAAGACGTTTGTACAAGGAAAATCTCCGACAGCCTCACGCTTTTAAGATGTGGTTGTCCTAATGGTTTGGCAGAATTTGGAGAATATCTGAAGTGGATTTAAGACTGCTAAACTACAGATGATGGATCACTTCCTGCATACCACCTGAGGAACAGTCACATCACCTATACTAGAAGGGGAAGCTTATTTGAACTACATCCAAGAGATAGAAATATCTGTAATAACTGTTGGAAAGAAGGATGATGGAAGAAAGGTCATCCACAACAGAGGCCAAGTGAATTAATTACTAAACAGTTCATTCTTAGAGACCTTGTTGGCAGGAATATTCCCCCACACCTATTTACCTGAAAAGCCACCATTTTTCTAACATGCAGCAGAAACAGGGAGTTTCTTGAAATCCGTATTTCAAGAGGAAACAATTTTGTTTAAAAAAAAAAAAAAAAGCAGCTCTTTAAAAGACCTTGCATAGAGGCTTTTAATCAAAAAAGATGGAATTTAGTAAGGGCTTCATTACTAAGTACAAGTATATTTAGGTCAAAGTTTTTTTTTAAACAATCCTGGAATAAGACACGCTTAAAAAAACATTGGTAATGTTCACTAAATACGTTTTAATGAGTTTGGGACTGTCCAGACTAGTCACTGTTCACAAGAACTGAACCTATCTGTGGCGTCTGTTTTGGTTTGTTGTTTTTTTGGTTTTTTTTTAATAATGAGCATATGCACCTCTGATTCAAAATTTTAAGTTACCCCCCCCACCAGGTTCTAAGACAGGCAATTCTTTTAATATGTAAGAGCATTGTCAAGTCTTAACCATTTTTGCATTCCCAATTCTCAGAAGAAAGATAAAAAGAATAAAATTATTTTGTCGAGAAGCTTCATTTCATGGCTTCCGGCTTGCTCTACATGGCTGATAAAAAGACCCTTCCCCAGGGAGTAGGTTCCAAAAGTCTTTACCTCTAGGATGACGCACAGCTTGCCATTAGCTAACTGCATCAGGAAATGGGTAAGGTGGGCAAAAACCTCAGGAGTGGCATTCATCTGACCCTAAAACAAAGAAAAATTTATAAGAGCTGAAACCCTTAATCAAAAACATCATTAAAAAATCCCCATACACTCTGAAATATATGAGTCCGAGTTGGAATACAGGCTTCTCGCTGTATCTAACAAAATGCTGAAACAGCTGCTTTAAAGAAAGGTGCAAAAATCAACCCACTACTTATGCCTATGGGATAATCTGTCTTTACATGTCTCATCGTGGTATTTACTAAGCTGGGGTCAGCTTAAAGACTCGAACATATATTTTTAACTTGGTTGAAGCGAATTTCACCAAGCAACCGCAGGACATTTCAGAAGTAGGAACATTTTGCAAAGAGATTCACAACTGACAACACAAATGCTACAAGTTACTTACTTCAGGGTCTCCAATTCCAGAATCATATCCAGAGGAGACAAGAACCAGTTCAGGATTAAACTGTTATAAAACAGAGAGAGTTACAGCACATTCTTACATCCTATTTTCAATTTTGTACCAGATTTCAACTGTACCACATCCAGCTGTTGTTTCAGCTACAATATGAATAAAAATAAAGACCCTCCTCAAATAAAAAAACCACACCCCAAGATTACCCTTTTATACTACTTTCATTCCCGCTAGAGAAGTTGCAGATCTTTATACTGAATGTTTAAAAAGCTAACATTCCATAAATACTCTTCAGTTGATCAGGACATCAGTCATACCAGCAAAAATAATGTATTAACTGTGCTACTGGCAATTACTGCATTTCTATGAAATATTCAGTGGTACCTGCTTAAGTAGCACTTTGGAAGTAGTCTTTGGATTTGCTATTCAAACAGCAGAGCAGTAAAAAACAAACAAAAGAATACCTCAAAAGCCATCGGAAGCAATACATGGAAAAATGCAGCAAGGTAATCTGCATTACCCATCCCAACCTGTAAAATACGAAAAATACAGGTTGCATTTTCCTGTTAGAGTAACAGTTTTCTCAGGTTCTTCAAGACTTCAGAGAAAATAAAAAAAAAGTTCAAGGGAAGCTTATGAAGTAAAATCAACTCCATTTAAGTAAAATGCACAGATATCCACCATTTTTACTCTTTAAATATGAGCTTCAGCTCTCTGCTGAACAAGGATGGATGTAATCATCTCCTGAAACACTTTCTGATTTGATGGCTATTCAAGAAAATAAAGCCACAACAAAAAACCCACAACCAAATACCAGTATGTTTTTCTCCCCCCCCCCCCCTTTTTTTTTTAAACATTATCACATTCTGAGCCATATTTTTTCAGCAGACATTCCACTGACAGGAAGGATGTCCACTGCTAAGACATCTGCCACGCGAGTGACACAGTGCACATCTCAAAGTGCTAGGCAAAGCACAATACAGCCAGTGCAGGAGCTTTGTTTGTTGTGCTGTGAACACTTACCTTATTCCAAGGCAAATTTATGTTAAAACCTTTTCCTTTTCCCAGACCCACAGCATCATAATCAGATTCTTTGAGTGAGGGCCAGAATTCCTGATGTTCATAGCGATGCCAGGAAAAATACAAAACACTGCAAGATACAAAAACCAAATCTATCTTAACAAAAAGCTTCCAGAACTGGCTTTTATATCCTGAACATGGTGACTGTATTGACTGAAGGCAAGAAAATAGAATTGTCCTTTCTCCTTAGTTTTCTTAATGGATGTGGACTGTGAAACTTGGTACAGTAGGTCTGGTGCTAAAATTAACCTAAAAATTAACCTGCTACAGATTTCTTGTATGCATGCACACCCTTCAAAGACAGGGCATTATTTTCAGACAAACAGACTTGGCCCTGTGGCTCTTTTGAAAACAATACCAAGCTCATGTATTTTAGGCAACTACTACTTGAATACTTGAAGTAAGAGATTTGAGAATACAGAGAGAGATTACCTGAATACTAGCATGAAGAGATCTTATCACTGGCAAACCAAGGTATTCATATTGCTTGTTTTGCATTTGTTATTCTTTAAAGAAAGTAGAACAGATTGACAGATTTCTTTTTTTTTCCTACATTCTTCTGTCTAGTTTACTTTTTTACTTTTTTTTTTATACTTTTTTTCCCCTTTTTTTAGAAGTAAAAAAATAGTGACTAAAATAGCAAGGAGGATGTTTTGTAATATTCTAGTTTTAGAAATTTAAGAAATCTTATTCTCTACAGAGGCAAGCAATCTTAAACAAGCTAACATTAAAAAAAATAATTAAAAATTCCTTCAAACCTTGGATCCTCTTCAAATATATACTGAATTCCTTGCCCATGGTGCACATCCCAGTCAACAATTAGGATTCTGCATAAATCAGTAAAAGAAAACATTCAGTGGAAGAATCACAGCATCTAGATCTAAAGAACATACAGACAAATTAGGGTTTTCTGCCACAGAAGTTACACGACACCCAGAAGATGCTAGACATTAACCTAAACCAGCACAATGCCAGTTATTTAAATACTCCACTTGCACATGACAAGCTTCTCGAGGCAACCATGCCCTTACCTCTGCAGACCGTATTTCAATTTTGCATACTCTGCTGCAATAGCAACGTTGTTGAACAAGCAGAACCCGTTAGCTGCATTTCTCTGGCTGTGGTGACCTGGAGGTCTAAACCAAAGTTTTATATGGTTACTCACAACAAAATAAAGTTTGGTAAAACCCAAAAACTTTCTCATTTATTTTCTTACCTTACTAATGCCATTCCATTGCACACTCTTCCTGACATCACAGCATCTACCAGCTGTAAAGTTGCTCCTACTGCTAGTCTGGCACAGCGGTAAGTGTTCTGAAAAAGGGGTAAGCAAATTCCAAATGACCGCTCTCAGAAAATGC